TTTTAGTGTAATTCATAGATACGTCAATTAATAATGATATTGAAAAGTAAGTCGTTCTTAAGATGTATTATGTCATAGTTAAGTGTGCACATTAGTATTCCTAGTCAGTATAGTTTATATATGCAAATTTTTTCAGACAATATATATAGTGGTTAAAAGGATTTTGACTTTAATGTACGATTCTTAATAAATTATATTTAATATGAATCCATCATATAATTTTCACTGTGGTTATTATAATTTTAATATGTCTGATTAATTGACTAAATAGGTATATAGACTATAGATTACTTTACTTTCTCACATGAACTAATATTTAACGTATAATAATTAAATTATTACTTTTAAATTTAATATAAAGAGGAGCTCTAACATTTATTTATTTACATACATGATAATACAATCTCAATTCCTATTTTCGCTTGAGATTTACACCATAGTTACGCATATCAAATTAGTAACTAAAATAATAATTATTTATGCTTAAATTAGGATGATTGTAGTTGGTCACTCACTATAGAATTTTCATAACGATATATACCTTACTTTTTATAGCTATCTGCATTACCCATGTATATTTTATAAATTAGTTGTTAATTTAACATATTAAATTATTTTTCCTTTGTAAAAATTTCTTCTTTGACTTTTATATTGTGTAATAACTATATCACCATTCTAGCGTAAAAAAGACCTCACTCTAAATGGCTTCGCGCCAATGTTTAAGTTGAACTGAAGTATATATATTATCTCTACTATGTGTATATATTTTTTAAGAAAATCATGTCAACACTTATTAAACAGAAGAGAATATTCTAACCTCTGATATTATAAAAACTAAATATAGTCAATTGAGTGATTAACAAAAGAGAACTTACATCAGAAAAATGTGAATAATAAGATAAAGAGAAAATGTAATGACATTGCTAACAGTACTACCAATAGCAAATTACAATGTAAAATTAACCTATTTTGTGGAGCCCAACTACTAGCTATAAACATCGAGATTATATATATACTTTATAGTTTATTAAAAATGGTCATATAATCTTATATAATAAAATTAATTTAATACTAAATAGCAATATCATAATCTCACAATAGTTATGCACTCCAAATTATTATATAAGCTATGCATTCTAAATTCTTGTGTCTTGTATAGAGCCAAAAAGTTTGAATACGAGCCTCTAGCATTTTGCTCTCACAATAGCAAAATTTACTTAGCAGATGTGGATATTCTAGATGAGTTATATGTCATATATATAATACAATTACCCTATGCAAGTGAGTTATAATAGAATTATTCATTCACGGTTAAGATTTGATAGGGACCTTGCATCAAGAAAAAAAAAGAAAATTTTATATTTAGTGTACGAGATAAAATATATCATAATCTCCATGTTCTAATTTCGCAAGAAAATAATTCTTCATACTTTTAGTTTTACTTCTATGATATGAAGAATGAGCTATAAAATTGAATGAGAATAGTAAATAGTGTAAATATGAGTGAAACCACAACTAAAAGTTAATGTGAATATGAGTAAAGCCACAACTAAAAATTTTATGGACATATTGCAAGTAAATTCATATGCGAAATTCTTTTGCGAATTGAATGATCACCTATCTTTTGAAGACTTCAAGTACTAATAAGCAAAGATGTTGTACTAGATCAATGTGTTAATAACTCATAAATAATAGATCACGTGGTCATTGTCTAGGTTGAAAGAAACAATGGTAATATTTTGTTTGAGAGAGCGATTATTGAGTTGATGATCAGTCCCACAAAAAACTTTATTTTCATTCTATTTTTATCAATTTAAATAATTATATTATTCAACCACATGCGTTGCTCGTGTATATCTCAACTAGTACTTTTAAAAAAAAACCTAACTCAGCCAATAACAGGTTATGTATGTACTTGGTGTAGGTAATTGTCTATTATTGAACTGGATCGCATCATACATATGGATGAAGATATTGAATTTAACATATCCTTCCTATATTTACAATGTGTCCTATCTTTGAGTTCTTATATTACCGCAAGTCGCTGACATTACAAAATGAAATCCGCGTTAAACAACAATGGTAGGATATATCTATAAAAGAAACAATGGTAGAATATGTATCTCCATTAAATACCTTCCAATTATGTTTGGCATATTGCTATTAATGTCTTCAACAAAATACCAAGAGATGAAATTAGAAATTCTAGCCGTGCACTCGCTCTGTGGCTAGGACACGTGCCTCCTACAGAGCCAGTGCTGTGCACTCGCCACTGTAGCTAGCACTTCCCTAGTTGAAATAGAGGTACATATCTATCCAACTAGTTACATGCTATGCGGGCTTCATTTTGAAATAATGGGCCCTGAGACGCAAACACAATAGTTTGCAAGGCCAGGGAAAATTAAAAATCCATTTATGTGATAACTGGGCCAGCAGGCCTCATTTTGCTCCTCTCTGTTGAAGGGCCAAAAATTAATGTGCGCGAGCTTTGCACAGACAGAGTTTTTTTTTTTATTGGTAAACTATCAGGGTTAATAAGTTGTTAAATTTGTTACTTTTCGACATTGGATATGTCAATCTGAATTTGTGAATTGCGCGAGCACAAGATTTTATTAGTTTAAAAATAGTTGTACTTTTATACTTTGTTATTAATGAACGTTGTATATGCGCATCATCTCTTTTTCTTTTTAAAATTTGCTTGATTGTGATAATCCATCATGTATACAACATCTTTTATGTTCTAATTTCTTGTTTTACCTCAAAAACAAAATTTATTTTTTTTTCCATATTGAGAGGACTATACTAGAAATCAATGATTCAAGGTTGATCGTACATTACAAATACGAAAAGAAATAAACAAAAAACATATAAAGAATGGATACAAATTACTTTTGTCTTTTTATAAAAGATTATATAGGTTATACATTTATTTAGGGCGTTCTACATATTAGTCCGTTAAATATTCAATAATTAGTATTATTAGTCCCTTAAATTTAAAAATTGCACGTTAGTCCCTCAAATCCTATAAGGTAGGTGGTGTCAATGTGATGGGACTTAGAATTTCAATCTTAGTGTCTAGTTCGCAGGGAGTTGAACATGTGTGGATTTCCATTAAATATTCTAATACTTATAATCCCCAACTAAATAGACGGTGAACCAACAGAATTCTTTCGATAATCAGTGCGTTTTCTAACTAATGAGTCAGCCGGACGGTTGTACTTTGATGAGTAAGCCTACATCTTTTTGACTTTGTGTTTAATGGTCATGCCATTAAATCTTAGATGCTTCAATTACTTCAATTTTGTGGGCTCCTCTTCGATATGACACAAAATGTTTCTTCCAAAATAATTTTGATACATGACCTACATAATCGCGTTGAGTGGTGACGATAGTACTACACTCAAACATTGTGAGGTCCATGACTACTCGTCAATTTTAATAGTCGAAATCCAAATGAAAGGACCCTACAGTTTTGTATTCAGTAGTGTAGAAATATTTTAGAGAGTGTAGTTTAGTTATAATTATCCCTTGAGAGTTGTTTGTTTTAAAAATATCTCCCATGCTTCTCCCAATAAATAAATAAATAAAATAAAATAAAACAAGACGGTTTTTACTTTATCATTCGCCAACTAAGATCCTTTTGTTTTCTATACATTTAGAGAACTTCTAAGTAGTCCTACGATGATAATTTCAATGTCGTGTTAAAATAAAAAGGAAGTTGGGGAATAATAATAAGTATGTATCTCCCAGGAAGGATAAAACCAAACATCAAAATATTTGTGTAAAGTGAGCTAAAGCACCTCCGATAACTACGCAACTAATTTTTAGTACGATTTGAAATTTGAAATCTGCGTAATTCATCTTTATCACTTACCTATCACGATTCACGAGCAAATAGAAAAGCACAAGTAAATGACCATAATAGCTTGATAGCTGAAAATCCTAATTAATTTGACTTACGCTGCGTTTGGCATTTTCACCGTGGTGGGGAAAATTAAACGAAGGGGAGCGAAAAGACGGGAAACTAAGGAAATTCTTTCCTCTCAATTCCACCCCAATTGAACAAATATGTATTTATGGGGGCGAACATAGGACAATGAGGGGGAACACTTTACCCTCTAAAGAACTCCCAAACAAGTTATTAGTTTCTCCTAGATGAACAGGAAGATAGCTAGTTAAATATATTTTCATTCATGATTAAATCAATAATTAATTATTTTGAGCCAGTTATAGGGATCCAACCAAATTAGTCCAATCCATATCTGTTCAAAACTTTGTTCTTATGTATTACAGCTCAAGATAATTAAAATGAACATGCTACTTCAGCTCCATTTGAGATTCTATTGTTTCAATACCTTGCAACTTTATTATGAGCTATCTATGACAAGTGGTAAGATAATATCTTTTTTAGCCATTTAAATACTAAGAAATCAAAACATCACCAGTGTCTATACAATAATTATTGTCTGATCTTCATCGTGAGACCTCTTAATAACTAACGTTAACAATGTTGAATATAAAATTATAATCCCTCATTCTCACCATAACTTTGGAGTTTTTGTGACTCTTGGTATAGCGGGATGACTTTATAATGATATCAGAGTAACTCAGGTTAGAATTATATTGACTACGGAAATTTAAAGCAGAAAAAAGGACACTCCCATGTGAGTCCATCTTACGTCCATAAAAGAAACCACAACCGGCAGGCACATGCTAGAATATAAAATATAATCCTCAAACTAGAGGTACCTCCATAAATTGAGCAATTACGTGTCATGTCTTCTCTGTAGAAAGAAAAATAGAAGGTAACAGTTAAGAGATTGTTGCAATTATTCTCTTAAACATAGAATACATCTTAAAACATGCTTTTAGGGAAATAAGTTGTTTATTAGAAAAACATCACGTTCTCACTAAATGAAGAAACAAGTACATTCCAATCTCCAACGTTCAGCACTTTTACACAGCAATTCAACAATAAAGCTCAGGCTGAATCCTTCACTTCATAACTGAAACCCATATTCTTCTGAATCTAAAAAAGAGTCCAGTAATTGGAAATCAAATTGGAAGTCCGTTTCCAAGAGCAAATTATCTCCCGATGAAGAACTTATCGAGCTCAAGCCAACTGCATCGAAGTCCAATTTCGGTTCGCTAGTCAAATCACATTTTTCTCCGAGGACTTCATTTGAGTGCAGTGTGGATTGCGTTGGTACTGGTAATGGGTTTGGATCCAAAATGGGTCGGGTGCACCTTACTGCCTTAGTTCGAATCACATTCGTCTCTTCTATGGCTTGCGAAGGTGATGGATGGACGGTGGTGATCATCGGGAGTTTTCCTTGGGATTTAGAGAGTTGATGTTGTTCTTGCATATAATGTGCATTAGCCACTCTTCTTCCTAAGGTTGTGTTCCAGTAGTTCTTGATCTCGTTATCTGTTCGTCCTGGAAGCCTTCCAGCAATTAAAGACCACCTGTGAAGAAAACAATTAGCAAAATAGAAAAAAACATCAACCATGAAGGAAAATAAGTAATTTATAATAATGACCCAATTTTAATATATTGACACGATATATATTATGGATATACGCGTGATAAAAAAAGGTCATGCATGTATATGGGTCATCTTATTTAGTAATAATTTTGAAGGATGACATGTAAAGTATTTAATTTCTGATTAAAAATAAAAAAAAGTGAATGATTAAGAGACCTATTTCCAAGTAGCTTGTGGAGTCTAATGATAAGATCTTCTTCATCATGTGAAATGTTTCCCCTCTTAATTCCCGGCCGGAGATAGTTCAGCCACCTCAACCTGCAACTCTTTCCGCACCTCTGTAGCCCTGCGATTAACTTTGATCCATAGTTGCATATATAACACACGCATATGTAGGCAATTTATATGCAACTTAATTTATCAACTTTACATTGTATATCTAGCCATTATATATGATAATAACATATCAATATCTAGTTTATGTACCAGCTATCTTTGGGAGGCTCCTCCATTTGCCTTCACCGTGAGTGTTGATGTAATTTGCTAAGATCTTGTCCTCCATTGCAGTCCATGCCCCTTTGTTTAGTCCCACCTTTGAGCAACATGGCTTTCTTCCCATTCTTTTTTTCGCTCTCTCTCACAGAGCAAGTGGCTGACTTTAGCCTATTTATAGGGTCTCTCTTTTGTAAGGGGGGAAGAAGTCTATAAAACAAATTTGAAAGTTAGATACACAGAATGGTGATTGGTGAGTGTGTGCATTTGTTTGCTATCATGGGGACTACGTGTGTTTCAAGAGACCGCGTGTATATACATTTTTGCACACGAGTACTATTAGGATGTGATCCTACGGTCCAAGTCCATAGCATTAGCCCAAGACCCATATATACTCGATGCTCATTCTCTATACAACCAATACCAATCTTTTAGAACCCAGTTACATTCAGCCGCTTGTCATGTCTGCATGTGTCAGGATGAATAGCGTTTTCGCAAAATTGATACCGAGTGTCATATCGCTAATGCGTAAAGCGTCGCCAGTGAGATCCAACATCACGTAATCATGCATACAACTAATCCTGTAACATTAAATATAGGAAGCAGTCATTTCTCAGCTTCTTATCCATACTAACATAGAAAGAAGCATCAAGGGACATGAATAAAATAGATGAGTGGCCGGCAAATCATCATTTTCAGTTGTTTGAAAAAGGGTAAAATTTATAATTTCATAAGGGATAATTTTTTTTCTCTTTTCCATTCTCTCTCTAGAACATCCTATGTAATTTATGTAATTTATGTAGTACTAGTGTGTTTGGTAGCCAATGAGTTTTTTTTAAAACACCATGTCATAATATTTCTTTTTCAAATGTGTTTTGAAAACACCATTTTGGTCAAACTAGTTTGACCATTTATATAACAGCAGTGGGCGGACGATGGCGCAGTCGGACGACGGCGGGTGGTGCCGTAAGGTGGCGGCGGGCCCGAGGGCGGGCGGGTGGCGCACGGTGGCCGCCAGCGGCGGCGTTGGCGGCAGGCTGGCACAGACGGGGCCGAGCGGGAGACGATAGCTTAGATGAAAAAACGGAATCTCAAAACACATTTTTGATGTTTTGAGAAAAGTGTTTAATTTTTAGATTTTGTAAAAGGACAATTCAAAAAAACACCCCGGTTGCCAAACATGTTTAAGTTTTTGTTGAAAAAAAAACAAAAACGGCAAAAACACCACGGTTGCCAAACGCTCTTTATATAAAGAATGATATAAAGAATGATGTGTTTCTTTTTCTATCCCCTTTCTTTCTAGAACATTCTATGACAACGAAAAGCCATGAAATAAAAATTAAGCCTACATAATTGAATATCATTTTAATATTTAATGCTATAAGAGAGAGAGAGAGAGAGAGAGAGAGAGAGAGAGAGAGAGAGAGAGAGAGAGAATAGTAGATAACAATTGATGTAGGACGCTTAATCTGAGTTGGAGTCTATTTAGATTAGGAAATATAAATTAGGCAATAATTTCAATTTTAGAGTCAAACTAGAGTAGGAAACAAAATCAATTTTGATTCATTATTTGTTTCCTCTATTATAATGTGTCCTTTTATGATAGAATTTGACACTTTCTTTTTTGTGTAATTCTAGTCTTACTAGGAGTCTTATTTGATACTTTCTATGGATAGAATTTGACACTTTCTTTTTTGTGTAATTCTAGTCTTACTAGGAGTCTTATTTGATACTTTCTATTTTTATAATTCTAGTCTTACTAGGAGTGTAATTCTAGTCTTACTAGGAGTCTTATTTGATACTTTCTATTTTTATAATTCTAGTCTTACTAGGAGTATTATTTGTTTTTTTTATTTAAAAAGAGTCATGTAATCCCAAAGGAGAATAACTTTTCATCAATAAAATTTCTCTTTTTAATATTTTCTTCGTGGATTCGGAGTTCTTCGTGGATTCGAAGATCGTTCTTTGTGGATTCAGAGAACAACCTTAGTGGATTCCGAGGTTATCACTTCCACACTGCGTAGAGAGATTGTATAACAATGTTCTATACATATATCTATATTACAAAGAAAAAATGAGAATGAGATAATTAATGGAGAATTTCAAGTTTAAATGATAAAGATAAATTCTCTCAGAAAATCAGTCGACTCTCACTATTTCCTCCAACTATGATATATCATTTTAAATAGAATAAAAATAATTAAATTTTTATAACAAGTTCATTCGCACGTGTTAGATTTTTATTTTACTATATAATGAACATAGTGGGGGTAGCAAAAGTTGTATGAGCGGTGGACATTTTCCTTCCTTCCTATTGTAATTTAGAGGGGAAAATGGTAATTTTATAAGAATGGATTTTTTTTTATTTCCTTTATTTTCATTCATATTTCTAGGAGATTCTACTAAATCTTGACATGAGAATATGATTTTTCAAGGGATTTGGATCCTCGCCACTATAAAAAAGTAGTGGAGAGACCAGTACTTTTAATCTAAATCGTTGATTACTTAGTAGGCGGTTATAATACAATCTAAATCTAATACTCACCATACCCCCGTGTATTGCACACATTCCTAATTTGCATTTAAAGAAAAAATCACAGCCACCAACTAGATAATCAATGATTGTGATTATGTAGTGGTCACTCTACTACTTTTTAGATAGTGGAGAGGATCCGAATCCGGTACTTCCTATTGTAATTTGCAAAGTAAAATTACCATTTTACACAGTAAAATTACCATTTTACACAGTAAAATTACCATTTTACACGAGTTCTTCATTAGTATGTAACTTAGACTAATTTTTTTGGTTTGGTAACTTGGACTAATTTGTACTGCCGAGGATGATCACTATTTGTGAATCTTCCTTCCATGTCACAATGCCATATGAGAAGTTTGATTTGGTAATCATAACATCATTCACAACTTAGCCACGTTTGAAACCTTTTGTTGTTTGAAGTGGACTGTGGACCTTTGCGAACCACACTTTTACAGTTGTCTTAATGGATATATCTCAATATTGTACTCCCCTCTTCATATCTGGTGACTTGCTTATCCTTTTTTTTTTATTATCAAAGGTGACTTGCTTATCCTTGATATGTTGATCTTGTCTGAGGAGGTTTGACTACCCAAAATCATTTATTTGGCTCGATTAAGGCTGCCACGGAAAACATTGCTTTCACGCATCTCCAATTGTAGGTGATTCAAACTGTCACGGACGATGTGTGCCTTACCGTAAGCAATGTAATTGTAGGTGATTCAAACTGTCACGGACGATGTGTGCATACCGTAAGCAATTCCTTTGCAGATTGATACCTTTCATGAGCTATAACCTGGTCTATTTTACGTAGTAGCATATACTTTTAAATGCGTGCCTGGTAGGGACTTGAACATGGATTGTTTCGATGCTATGTTAAAGTCCCTTTACTTTTATCGATTTCTGAAGTTGCAAAGAATTGAGGGTTCTAATTTTTTAATAGTCAATATCCGCTAAGAAAACTATGCTTATAATCATAGTCGATGACATCTAGGTTAAGAAGCGACTTAGCAACTTGCATAACTTTTTATAAATGTTTATTTTCTTCGGGGCTCTACCTATAATTCACGGAGCAAAAGGCAAGAATCTGAGATGTAGATAAGCAAAGGTGGAAGGGGATAATTTCAGAGGATAACATGGGACCCAAATGTTAAAAGGGTTTGCTTTTGGGGTTTATGTTTTGAGCTCTGTACCCTACCTAATCTTTTCTATAAGATGATTGCTTTGTTGTTTCCTGGTGGTCCAACCATAAATCATATTGAGCTTTTGTGGAATTTCCTAGAGTTGCAAGGGGGCTTACAGGTGCATATTGCTGATTCTCTTGTTTTGAAGTAAAGTTATTGGGGATGCTGAGGATTGCCCCCCTTGAGCTTTTTGAATAAATATTTAGAGCATCTCCAACAGCTTCCTCATTTCCCACTTTTGGTGAATTTAGTTAGGTTTTTGGTCCAACAGATTCCCCATATCATTCCCCAAAATAGGGATGAAGGAGAAAAAATGGGGAAGCTTCCCCAAATCTACAGCATTCTCCAAATTTTTAGAGGAAAAAAGAGATTCTTCAAAATGGGGAAGCTGTTGGAGTTGGTGTAAAAATAATTTAGAGAATATGACTTTTGTTTTCCCATTTTGAAGAAAATTTTAGAGAAACTATTGGAGATGCCCTTATAGTGATACATAAAAGACACATGCACCAGAATAATGCAAGGAAGTTCTTATTTATTTTTTTATAGTCAAAAGATTCAATTGCATTGCATGGATAAGAAATTAAGTACAGATATAATCCGGACCATTCCATGAGTCACAAAAGAATTGTCTTAGGATATCCTCCATAAAAAGTTGAGTAAAGAAAATATCCTCATTTGTTACACAGTCATGGGATCATTTTGTTTATTTGTGCAGTGAATATTGAGTAATAGAGGGCAACTCGCAGATCTGTGATATAACTAATGCTTGTCGCGCGCCTATGCGGAAGCGTTGCACGCACACACAACGAACTTGAGATCACGGAAGAAGAAAGCCACACACTTGCACAAACCAAGCCAATTACGACAAATCAAACCAAACACAGAGATATACGTGGTTCGGCAACTTGCCTACGTCCACGGGGAGAGGATGGAGAGATTTCACTATATGGAGGAGAAATACAACGGGTTACAACTCACAAAATCACTCAAATATAACCCTAACCAAAACTCTCAACTCCCTCACAATATCTCCCTCTCAAAGTGCTCAAAACAATGCTGATTCTCTCATTTTCTCTCCTTAAGAAACCCTAAAAAACGTGGTCCTGTTTATAATAAAACACAATCCCAAACAAAGGAGGATTCCCATACAAAGGAGGATTCTAAAAACGAGTCTGCCACACCCTGCACCATGGGTGTGGTAGAGGGTGTGGTGCATGACAGATTCTGCCACACCTTGCACCGTGGGTGTGGCAGATGGTGTGGTGCATGACAGATTCTACCACACCCATCAGACACTATTCCAGGGTGTGGTGGAGTCTGTTTTAGGTTATTCTTCACAATTTTCACAATTCCTTCGCCGTTTTCACAATGCTCTCATGTATCTCTCATATATATGATTCTTAACCTGAT